CCGAGAAGAGGAGGTGGGCTCCTGCAAAGACAGCTGGAGATCACTGATCACCCTGGTCAGTTACAAGGTTGTGGAGCTTGGTCACCTGATCAGGGCTCCTCCCCAACCATGAAGGCTGATGGGGTGAATTCTGCCCTCGGGTGGTCATGCCCTAGCGCTGACATTGCAAGACTCAGGTTGAGCTCTGATTGTACCAGGGGAGAAACTGCTGTTGTCTTTCCCCTCCACCGCCTCCCCCCTGACCACCCCACCCTGAACAGTGAACCTGACCCCCGCCCCCCACCATGAACAGTGAACTAAAAAGACAGAGCTCTGCTCGCTTGGCGCCCATCAGAGTGCATCCTGTACAGTTGCAACCAAAGACAAAGCGTGGTTACACGGAACAAGTGAAGCATGGCAGGAGAGATTTGGGGGCAGGCAGAAATGGTAGACAGTAGAAAGATGAAGCCCAGAAACGCAGGGTCTTAACAAGAACGTGTAGTCGGGGAAGAACCGAACTCGTCTGGGAAGAATTTAGAACAGAGAAAGTTTCTTGTTTTGAGCAAGGGTTCAAGAGGAGAGCTCGGGGAGTTCTCGCCAGCATATTCACCTTCCAACTGGATAGACTCCAGTCCCTGAGACTGAAGGGACTTCTCAGGAAGAAACACACACACTCAGAAATACCTGTGGTTCCTGCGCTGTCCCAACAAATCAAGGTTCGGGCAGCTCAACCCTCATTGGCTAGCTATCAGCTCCTTCCCTTTCAGACGGGGCCTCCGGGGCCTGCCCTCCTGCCCCTCCTGCTGCCTCTTCCGGTCTTCACCCTCTTCTCCCTGGGGGGCGCTTCCTCCCTGGGATGGCAACACTCAGGCTCTGGCTTCCTGGAGAGAGAAGGCAAGCCCAGGACCCCCACAAAAAGACAGGAGAGGAGGGGACAGCTCTGAGCCACCGAGCCTGCTCCTCAGATGAGACCAGCCTCCTCAGATGAGAGGACACTCACCGAGAGCACACCTGGTGACCCGCCCTGTGAATCAGCAGGGCACCTCCTCCCTGGGAAAGAGTGAGATTGCCCAGCACTCCGGACTCCTTCCTCATCCCAGCCCTCAATAAGCCAGGCCACCCTGGGACACCTGGGGCCCTGGGGAATGCATCCCTGACATCTGGGGGTATTCCCAGGAGTGGTGAGGCCACTCACCAATGTCCCAGAGTCCCCTTCCATGAAGGGTACCTGCAGAGAGAGGCAGGAGAGAGAAATGCCCAGAAAGGTAACTTTCCAGAAGGTAGTTCACAGTACATCATCACTAGAATTTGCTCTGACCCGGCCCCTTCATATCACTCTACCTCAACATCAAAGCGTTTCCCTGAACCAAATGTCTTTAGAATCCTTCTATAAGCCACTTCCTCCCCAGTTCTCCATAGCAATCCAGAGTCTTCCCTTCTGCTTTCCTAGAGATTTTCACCTACAAGGTCCTGGGATTTTTCTGCCAAGGGTGCCTGGGGTGTGTCATCTGACAGACACCGGTGTTTGGGGCACTGCATCCTCCATGGTGTCATTGCTGTCAGTGTCCCAGCACAACACAATGAAACGCTGTCTGAACCCCTTGTGAGAGTCACTGTGTGTGCATCCCTTTCGCTGAGGCTCTTCCTGTTTGTCGCCGATCCCGATGCTTTACCAGCATGCTGTCCTTCGCCCCTCGTCTCATGTCCAAAGTCTGTGAGAGGAAGCCCTCCACGGGGCTGGGGAAGACCGGGTGACGGTCTGGAGAGAGGCATTTAGCAAGGGGTGACAATGACTGAAAACCACGTTGTAGGTTTCCTTAGACTCGGCAAGTCTCTCCTAGGTGGCCGTTTTATGACTCTACCTGTGTCCCATCTTGACAACTAGGAAAACCCTTAGCATTAAAATGGTTTGTGACCAAGCGACAAAGAGCTGAACACACTGTCTCCCTCTGCAGTCCAGACGTCGGAGGTAGGGAAGATCAGTGGCTAAAGGAATAGCATCAGCACACCCCACTCCCTCCAAGGAAAGACAATTCAATAGACCGCTGTGGCCTTCAACTAGGGTCTATCAGACACCTCAGGATTCACTGACGCAGAGCCCCTGCTAGCCCCTCTGGGGTTTGGGGGAGAACTAGAAAAAATATTCCTTCTATTGATCATTTTAGGTACTATGGTCTTTTTATCACGGACCTTATCACTTTGTCTGGAAGAGAACACTATAAAATTAGAGGGGAAGAAAGGAAACATACCACGAAACCATCACAATGAGTCAGCCCCCAAAGCTTTAGGCTGTCCTGGTTGGCTTATGACAGGAGGTGGCAGTGTCGGCTTCTGGATGAGATCACATTTCCATCACTAGCAATGTACCAGGTCTCCCAGCTTCCTCAAGCCGTCTCATTCTCCACACGCTTCATTTCAAAATCATCTCATCCATTAAGCTGTTCTCAACACCATTATCAGGAGTTTATTCTCCGTGAAGCCCCTCCAAGTATAAGTGACATAAGAATTAATGCACTGGCCAGGCGTTAATAATATAGGCATACCTCTGAAATATTGCCGGTTTGGTTCCAGACCACCACAATCAAGCAAAAGCGAGACAGTGAATGTTTTTGGTTTCCCAGTGGACAATGCTGATGTCTATTAGGTGCATGATCGCATTGTGAGAAAGTTTGAAACGTTATGAGAATTACCAAAGCGTGACTCCGAAACAGAGTGAGACTGTGCTGTTGGGAACACTGGAACCGATCAACCTGCTCAAGGCAGCATTGCCACAAACCGTCCATTTGTCAAAAGCACAACGAAACAAGTTACACTAAGACAACGTATGCTCGTGTGGTGTGGGGCATGGGCACAAACACCAATAACTGGATGGCAGTGAGATCACTTCTGTAAAGTGATATATAAGTTAAAAGGATTACATGGGGAGATGGGGGGAGAAAATGAACCATTACAGGAGAAATTTAGGCGATTAAAAGGACGATTAAGTCATCCCCCAGTGACTTCACTCTTGAGCTCGGCAAGAAATTAATTAGTGAGAGAAGTGGCTGTGTGAGAAGGCTGAGAGACTGGGTATATAAGGGAGGTTCACAGGGTTCTCGGTTTGGGAGGTGATGTGGTTCCCAGAGAAAATGAGCTGTGATAAAGGCCAACTGAGACAGAGCCAAGAGAAAGCATTTGGAGTTTGGAAGGCTGAAAAACTAGGAACCAAGATCATGCATGTGTTCACAGGTAGACGTTGACTCAACTTAGAGACCAAAAGCCACAAGGTAAAAAGGGGAGATCAGTTTGGGTCTGGACCAATTCCAAAAGGACAGACCCATGGTCCAAAGATACCTTTGGACTAGACGAGGAATGCAGAGACACACGGCAAGTGGGTGGACAGTCCATGCGTGAGGAAGTTTGCAGACAAATAGTGCCAACAATGTTAGGGTTTCACGAAGCATCTTCGAAGGGGACCTGGGATGGAGGGAGGGGTAAGGAAACATTGGATTGGGATCTATCCTTGAAGGGGCTAGGCTCAACATCCACCTCTGAGGATCTCAGAGAGATGCCACAGACCTGAAATCCCTGTGTGGAGGGCATGTCAGCGTAGA